AGGTACCTTAGAATCCTTTGAACAACTTTAAAATGTAGAACTCTAGGATTATACATGAACTGGCTGACTCGCTGAGTGGCATAGCTAATGTTTGGCCTAGTTGTGGTTAAGTACAAGAGCTTCCCAACCAGTGTTCTGTAATGTTCTGGATCCTGGTAGGGCATTTCACATTCACTGCTCAAGTGAATTTTGTAATCCATTAGGGTAGTGACCTTCTTAGAATCAAGCAAATTTGCTTCTTTAATGATTTCCTATGTGTACTTCCGTTGTGAAAGACGAATGCCTTTGTTGTTGCGAGCCACTTCAATGCCTAGGAAAAAATGTAGGGAACCGAGATCTTTGATGCTGAAAGCAGTGTGAAGTTCCTGCTTGAGGTGTTGGATTTCCTATAGGTCATTACCACCCAGGAGCAAGTCATCCACATAGATTAAGATGCAAGTATAGGTGAACTCAGTAGCTTTGAAGAATAAAAAATGGTCTGTCTTGCTCTGAATGTACTGAAGTTGATGAAGTTTGTCTGTAAGTTTGGAAAACCATTGTCTTGAAGCTTGCTTTAATCCATAAAGGGACTTCTTGAGTTTGCAAACTGGTCTTTTGAAACCAGGTGGGGGTTCATAACCCTTTGGTAGAGTCATGTAGACTTCCTCCTGGAGATCTCCATGGAAGAAGGCATTGTTCACATCAAGCTGGTGAACATGCCAATTCCTCATAGATGATATGGCTAGAAATGTCCTGATTGTGGTCATCTTTATCACTGGGGCAAATGTATCCTGGTAATCCACCCCTTCTTGTTGAGTGTTACCTTTGGCCATAACTCTGGCTTTATCCAAAGAACCATCAGATTCAAACTTTAATTTGTAAACTCATTTGCTGCCAATGGGTTTTTTTTGCCTTCAGGGAGCTCAACAACATCTCAAGTGTTGTTTCTTTATCAAAGTCTTGGTTTCTTGCTGCATTGCAGTGTTCCATTGAGCTGATTGAGAGGCTTCCTCATAAGTGTTAGGTTTAGTGTGAGAGGATATGCTGAGAACAAAGTGTTTGTAATGAGGAGCAAGGGAATCATAGGAGAGAGGGTACCTTTCGTCTTGGTCCTGGAGCGAAGAAAGCTTACTAGTATTGCTAGACTTATGTAACAGGTAGCATTGGTAGTCTTTGGTTAGATGAGTGGGTGTTTTAGGTTGTCTGTCTGAGCGACGAAGAAGGGGATTAGGTGAAGGAGGGGGTGGAGGTGGAATGAGAGGAGCAGGGCTAGAAGATGGACTAGGAGTAGGAGAAGAAACTGGGGAGGAGTGATCAGTTTGTGAAGAGGAAGAAGAGGATGGAATGGATGGTGAAGGGGTAGGATCAGGAGGGAAATTTGCAGGTGGTGGTGGAGTTGAAAAAAAATCTTCAAAAACAAGGGGTGATGTTGGTGATGGGAAGAGGGAATTGTTGGGTGCATCACTGCTTGCTAGAACCTTAAAGGGAAAATCATTCTCATAAAAAACGTCTCTGGAAATGTATGTTTCATGAGAGGTTAAATCATAGATGAGGTAACCCTTGATGCCTCCTTTCTAGCTCTAAATTGGAATTTAGTGCGATGGTTACCTAAAGTACTAGCATAGGATAAACAACCAAAAACTGTTAAGTGAGAGAGATCTGGTTGTTTATTGTGCAGAATTTCATAAGGAGTTTTGTTGTTTAAGACTGTAGAGGGAACTCTATTGATAAGGAACACAACATGTTTGGCACATAAACCCCAAAAACTAGCTGGCAGATCAGCTTGAAACATTAAAGCACGAGCAACAGCAAGAATATGATCTCTAGTTGGCAAAGTGGTAAAAACATTGTTTATCTCTTTGTATTCAACAAGATTGTCTAGGGTGCACACTATGTGATCTGATGCTCCATTGTAAAGGATCCATAGGGTGCTTTTCTTGTTTGAATTCTCAACTATGGGAGAAGATAAGAGATATTTACCTGGTCCCTTTGGACTCTTAATGTAGGCTGCTGTTGTGAATGAGCCACTTGGTTGCTTCTGATGAAACAGATTCATCAGTTTGTCATAATCTTCTTTGGTGAGCTTGATGTCATGATCATTCTGGCTAGCAGAAGTCATGTTAGCATAACCTCTTCCTCTTCCTTGTCCTGTTGGACCTCTTGTGTTGCTGCTGGAAGGAAAACCATGTTTAAAGAAACATCTTTCTTCTGAGTGCCCTTGTCTCCTACAATAGTTGCACTCCACTCCTTTGCCTTGACCTCCTGGATTCCTTGAATCCATCCCGGGGGCCATCCATGATTTTTGATAACATATGTCTTATGTGTGTCCTTTTTTGCAATAAGTACAGAAAGGCTTTTTCCCTGTAGTATTTGGCCTTTTGTTTCCTCCCTGAGCAGCCAGGATTGGTGACTCAACACTTGCAGCAGCAATCATTTTTCCTTTTAGAGTTCCATACATCTGTCTCTCATGTCGCAGCATCCTCTGAAAGACCCTATTGATGTTAGGTAATTCGTCACCAAAAAAGAACCTGAGATCTTACTATAGAGAAATTCTCATTCAGTCCTCGAAGGAACTTGATAACATAACTTGTGTCATGGTATTCCTGAACCTTCTTCATAGCTATGCAAGTGAGATGACTGGTGGGTGTACAGTCACATGGAAGGAGTGGCTGGTAATTTTCAAGCTCATATCTGAGTGTGATATGGTTTCCAAGCTTCAAAAGCTGTCTTGCTAGAAAGTATGGTTATTCTAATCTTTGTCTCAATAGATTGTTGAATCCAGCTTAAGATCATCACATTGTTCCTGATCTATGCTCCATGTTTTGGATCTGTTGGATCTGGCTCAACCAGAACCCCACTTACAAAAACTAACTTGTTCTTAGCAGCTAAGGCATTATACATCGCCCTACTCCAATCATAGTAGTTTTTGGTGTTAAGCTTTTCTGCCACTTAGAATAACTGGTCGGTCTGATCCATGGAGAAAATAAGGATCCTCCATCTAGTAAGGCTGTTGTTGATGTTCTTGTGCATTGTTGTTCTGTTCTTGCACATTCTCGTTGTTGGCTGCCTCATTTTGTGGTTGTGGACCGTTGTTGTTGTTGTTGTTGTTGTTGTCTGCCATGGTTTCACTAGCGGCGCCGAGCTAGGTTGAGAAACCAGGCTCTGATACCCTAACAAAGATTGTTTGAGTGAAACCCTAGGGCTTAACCTTTCTCATTGATCTGCTTTTACATTATATAGTAAGCTTGGCTACTACAAGACAACCATAGCCAGCTTGTCTCTCTGCACTGTTTTGTTCTCTTTACTTGAAAAAGAAACAAAGCTAAGCTTGACTAAAAAGAAAACCATTCCCTGAAATAAAGCAAACGACACCGTTGCACATAAACGGTGCGTATCACTTAAAACATCTTCCTCCTTCCTTCAACGTCTTCTTCTTAACTGCAGGTTTGAATTTTCAATTGGTCTGGCCTGTTACACTATATCAATACTACGAGGTAGTGGAATCTTTAGCCGTCCTTTTCTTTCTTATCAATAATAATAGTAATAATAATAATAATAATAATAAAATCATCTTATTTCAATTTGATTTAATTATCAAAGGGTATTTAATCGAGTTGGTAATTTTTATATATATTTATTTCAATCGAGTTGCAAATAACTGAAGAAATGATGGACTGAGCTTATATTTGGAGCGAACCAAACGCAATGATGGTTCGGTCGTTGGTCATAAGATGTCTTTCACTAATATACGGACCACGGTTCTCATGAGTTTGGTTCGGTCCAGTCCGGATCGAACCGTTGCACACTCCTAATTGATAGTGATGGTAATTTCAACTCGCCCCGCGGGTATCCGACCTGACCCACGATGGGGCGATATTACCCGACCTGCAATAGCGTGGGGCGGGGCATGGGTATCTACTTTCGACCCGCCCCGCCCCGTTCTATACCCATTTTATCTCAATTTCTTATAGTATCTATACATATTTATCATATTTTGACTTTTCTTCAACTAGTTAGAGTCGATCTTTCAACTTGCCAGACTCAATTACCCATTCTATTATCACTATTTTCATTCATAAAGTGTTTTTCCATTCTTTTTATCGTAAAAGGTAAATTTTGTGTGTATTTTTTTCAAATAACATGTAAGAGTGGGTCGACCCGCCCCATCCCGTACCCGCGCGGGTTTTACCCTCCCCACTCGTAATAGCGTGGGGCGGGACATGAGAATTGAAGTACCCGCCCAGCCCCGCCCCATTACCATCCCCACTAATGAAGCCAAATCAACACCAAAATTTATTTGTGTTGCTCCAAGCCTCCAACTAAGATGAATTTATATTTTAGATATGCCTCAAATGTTTTGTTATACATGTTGGAAGAGACTTAACATGGCCCCCTTATTTCATTATCTACCCTCTCAAATGTTTAGTTATGCCTTTAGTGTATTTATAGTTTATAATAAGGGTTAATATTTCTGTATGGCCTGAACTTTGACCAAAATAAACATCCTGACCAATCTTTTTGATCTATAACATCCTGGCTCGAACTATACATCAAAATAAACAATTTAGCCAAATCTGACTTTTGACCGTTAACTTGGAGCGCATGCATTAGTTCCTGTGGCCCATAACTTCCTGTGGACCATATAATTAACTAACGAGAGTAACTTATAAGGGCCATTAATATAGCCCAATTGTTCTTAACCAATACATAGCCTTATTGTATGAAATGGAGGCCCTGTGCTGACGGGCCTGCCAGCACAGGCCCATGGCCGGGCCTGCATTATTTTACTAATTAAACCATAATAATATTATGTCAGTCGGTCGGTTTCGGTTTAACCGAAAACCAATTTCCCGGTTATCGGTTAAACCGAGCCACCACCTCCCACTACCGGCCACCGACCGTGAGGGACACTGCGGATAGCCGACCACCGATCAGTCGGGTATCGGTTTTGGTTCGGTTAGCCGCACTCCCTTATCTCCAAAAAAAAAAAAAATAATAATAAAGAAAACCCAAATTTGCTCACACCACTCATTCCTTATATGCATCCTTCTCTCTCCTTCCTTATCTGCATCCTCCTCCGCCCAAATCCTCCCCACAAACTCACGACCTCACCTCCTCCACCCAAAATTTCTCCCCACCCAAAATTCCTCCTCACGACCTCACCTCCTCCCCACAACCTCACCACCCTCACGAGTCACGACCTCACCTCCTCCATCCTCTCCCTCGCCGACACCCGTCGCCTCCGCCTCTCCGCCCTCCTCACCTCCCGCGCCCTCTACCACCTCCACTCCCTCTCCCTCCCTCAAAACACTTCCTCCCTTGCCAAACACTTCCTCTTCTCCCTCCACCACCTCACCTCCCACTTCTCACCTCCCCGCCGCCGCCGCCCGCCGCCTTCCACCACCTCGACGCCGACGCCGCCCTCCTCCTCCTCCTCCTCTGCCGTCAAATCTAGCCAGTCGAGCCCGAACTTGTTCTCCGACGTGTCTTCGCCAGGGAGGTGGTGAACGAGGTGAACAAGCTCGGGGAGACGGCTCTCTTCACCGCGGCAGGGAAGGGCCACCTGTGAGGGAGCTGTTGAGAGAGGCTACTACTTCTTCTTCTTCTTCCTGGATTTGGGAATTTTTTTTGATTCAAGATGTGGGAATGGAGATGAATCTGGACAGGATTTTGGGGAAGTTTAAGTGGGTCTCGATTGGGCCCGGTTAGTCGGATAACCGCGGTTAATTACCGTCGGTTACTCGGTCAACCGATCCCTTCCTTTTCTTATCCGACCACCGACTGTCTAGGAAACCAGTCGGTTTTCGGTTAGCTGGTAACCGACAGTTTCCGTTAAAATCGGCGGTTACCCGCTAACTGCAAACCAAAATGCCAGCCCTACATGGCATGCATATCAAAATGAAGAAAAAACACCGAAGAGGAAAAACAATGACACATCTTTTCACTATTGTTCCCACCTCCCCAACCCAACATGGAGCGGGGCCACCTTAGAGACACAAAACTATTTACTTTGATGTATAGTTTGGGCCAGGATGTTATAGATCAAAAAAATTGGTCACGATGTTTATTTTGGTCAAAGTTCAGGCCATATAGAAATATTAACCGTTATAATAATGGGTAATGTTTATTTATTATCCAAACATTTTTAAAATTTTTTTATTTTATCCAAATCTATAAAAATTATATTTCTTATCCAAATGTATTATAACTTATCAAAATCAGAGCATTCGTTCGGTTACGGTTAGTAATGGAGCTCCATGTAAGCATCCACCTCTGCGGTCATCATCCATAAAATTGTATTTATTTATCACTTAAAAATAAAAATAAAAAAATCATTCCCATCTCTTCACCGTTCACTTCACACATTCTCCCCTGCTACTCCAATCCTCTCTTCTTGCGCGCCACCAGACCAGATATTCACGCCGCCCCTTCCCCATCTCCAGAACCAACAAACACCGGCGCCCTCTTCCTCGTCTCCAGACCCAACAACTTTCGCCGTCCTTCCCGGCAAACACTGCCGTCTCTGCTCCAACCTCTTCCGCCGAGCCCAAATGTGAAGGAGAACAACAAAGGGGCATCACCACTAAGCCAAGGAGGAAGAAGAATGATGGGGAGCTTCCTAGATCTTCCTTCGATTGGATCGTTAATCGCTTCCTACAAACAAGAAACAAACACAAATAAATATCCCAAAAACCTCATATCCAGATCCTAGTCCAAATCCCCAAATAAACCCGAACGCAAGAACCCATTTGGAGAATCGAAAGAAAATAAAACTTTCGGAGAGGAGAGAACAAGGGAGTGCACCGATTGTGCTTATCTCCAATCGGAGAGAGCCAGCAATGAGAGAAGGGGTCTGACAGTTCTCTACTTCTCTATCTCCGAATGACGCGAACTGACAAGTTCCATCTTCTCCGTCCTGCTCTTGCAATTTGCCACCGTCCGTCGCTGTTTGGCGTTGGTTTTTACTTCCAGCAAGACCATCACTCGTGAAAAGCATATCAAGTTCCGGCGGAATCCTTGGCCGGCGGAGTCTGCAGGAATCTCCTCCTTCATGTCAGCTTCCACGGACTTGCTCCGTTTCCCCATCAACCGTACTCGAATCGAGTCTGAATAACTGTGTTAATTATTCGCATCCGCTCATCAATCCATATTTTAGGGAGTTTGGTGAAAGTAAGATAGAATTGAGATATTGAGCAGACATCAAGCTGTCTAACTTCTCTTTGAATGTGAGCTCTATGGGAAAGATGAGCCTATTCTCCCTAGCTAGAGCTTTTGTTAGGACTTTAGAGTATTACCCAATTTCTCATCTGACATTGCAATTGGGCAGCCTCTATAAGAAAGATGGTGACTTTATACACCCAATAGCAATGACCAGCTCGCTACGCTTCGCAATTGAGCAAGAATAGAATATTAAGTTGAAAAAGAACTCAAAATTATTATAACTAACAAAGAAAGGACGATAATAATTCACTATCCAACACACGGTACTAACAATAGAAGTCTGCATATTGGATTATAGAAATAACATTGACAAATCTTTGAGTCAGTTGGCACTTATAAGTTACAGCACTAAGTGTTAACCTAATTGAATACAATAGAGAATGAAAGGGGAAATGAATTAGTTGGTCTTGTCAATTCCCTATCACACTCTCCTTCAACATCCTACTTTCACTTTGCTTACCCCTTCCTTTAAGGGTGCTTGGAGCCACAGTATCCAGGAGTATTCCAGCACAGAAGGGAACTGCAACTTGTAATCAACCAAACAACCAAGGAAAAAGAGGGAGAGAGCTGGCATGAAAGGTGAAACTATAAAATAAAACCCAGAAAAGGAATAAAAACACGAACCAAATGCTAACTTGTTGAAATCCCCAACTTTGCATCTGATCTGCAGCGACAATTGTGATTATTAGGTGACATCAATCAATCGGGAAACTATAACAGTTTTTACATAGGCAACATAACAAAAAGCATCATAACCGCTTATCCTTCCCCATTAATCATTTGAAATAAAGCCATGCTCCTCTTGTTTTGAAAAGCAAAGGAATGAAAGAACTATATGTTCAAGGAAGGAGTGATATGTGCAGGTTCATACTTAAGGCAGTATATCAACCTGACATGACCGATTGACTGAGAAATCCTTCCTATGTCCTTCCACTCCCTTATTTCCATTATAGTAGTCATACTAATCTCTTCCCTCTTCAATTGTAGCCAACCTAGCACAACTGAAACAAAACATATCAAAAGTCAAAACCTTCTGATAGGGTACATGTTTTACATTCTATAGAGTAAATAGAAACTGCAGTTGAAGATATTTTATGATTCTGTGGTTACAAATTATTTGTTGGTCACATGCTTTAAGGATACCTTGAATAAACATAATCACGTTCCAATCAATCAACCAACATATTAGTGGCAAAAAAAAAAAATTGAACTGTTTCACTTCTATAAAAATTCATAGTACATTCACAAACACCAAATTATGCAATCCTCGACTTGAATAACAGCTTGTGTCTGGATGTCATAACAGGGTATTCTTGAAAGAACATCCATTCTCGGGCTCCAGTTAGCTTTCATATATAAGTTCCACAGGCCAATACAAAAGACGTGAAACGGTTACAAGCCATGGTAGAATAAAACATAAACGGATGGCTGAAATATAAGAGAAGATAAACTTGCTTACCCCAAGACTCTAAAATGCAGGACATTAGTTTATTGTATATAAACAGATGAACATATATAGCAAATTAATTAAAGTAAACCCGGGCTTGGATATATAGCATTATTTATGGTGGCCGAAGAAATTCAAAGCCAGTGAAAGTGATTAACAAATATCACCTATTCATTTAAATCAGCAAGCATTAAGGGTTATTGATTTGGTGAGGCACCTTTCATGGAGCTTGTCAATGACCACCCGATGAGGGAAAAACAGTTCTTTGGCTCAGTTGGATCTACTCAGGACTCCAAACATGGCCCTATAATCGTAAGGGGCAAAAGCATTGAACTCGAGAAATGAAAAAGATTTAGCTGCATCTAGAAAGCAAATGTGTACCCTTGTAAGACTATCGAGTAGTCAGACTGTAGAATTGCAATCCAGTAAAGCTATCTAGGTCCTTGTCAACTAAAGACACCAACGCATTGTGGTTTTTCATAACTTGTCAACTCTATTGGCTCAACTGCTCTCCAACAGGGCATCAAGTCAAAGCAAGATAGTCTCAAATTCCCATGTTGATCTGAGCAATCTCCATATGAACAAACTCATATGACTCATATAAGCTGAAAATGAAACAAAATGGAACGTAAAGAAATATGGAACTCGCCACTAAGATGTATCTTGTCAATACAAACTGAGCTGAAGTATCTATGGAACAACAATACAGTTCTAGGATAAGAAAAAGACAGTCATGTGGAACAGGTTCTCTATTAAGCAAAAGTGTTACTTCCAAGTAAAGAACCTGCAATTGAAATGAGAAAAGGTAGGCAAATCTAAAAGGGTTCTATCAAATCATATTAAGGGTTGACAATTAGCAAATAAGGCCAAGTTTGGAAAAAGAAAAAGCAGCAGAAACTGCAAGCATAAGTTGAGAATAATGATTTGCTTTGTAAATCAACCATAAAGAGCAATTCCTTTGAAAAAGTGCAGCAATAAGACTGACAGATTGGGCACAACATATTACTTTCTAAAAAGTTTGGGTGGCTGCTGATATTTACTTTGCAAGTTTAGTTGTTGAATCGCACCTTCTGAAGAATAAAGTGTCACTTGTGACAGTCATTTATTCTCTATCACTCTATAAGGCTAGGTCCATGCTAAAGTTGCTATCGAGAAGACCCAGCAACAAAAGCATAAAGCACTCTCATATACGTTTTGCCATTCGTATCTTAAAACCTGGCGAGCAATCAAAATGAATGGAGAGAGTATTAGATCTACTTTGAGTTCCAGCTGCAAACTATATGGTAAAAGTATCAAGAATAAACATGAACAACTCAGCATACTCGGGGAATTTCCCAAGGGACACGAATCCAAAACACTTACCTGATCTTCGCCTTGTAGCTTCCACATCCATCAAGGACTGGCATTAGCGTGAAACAGCCAAACCTGCAGGAAAGACATGAGTTACATCAATCCCAAAATTTGGTTACTCCTTGTCCACCTTCTTGTATCACACCTTTTACACCATTCCCCATTTCATCTTGCAGTTGAAATATAGGGATCAGACGTTCCCAACACCCCGTTTGTTTTTTCGAAATCCAATAATGAAAAACCGCATATGCAAAAGTTCATTGAGAGGCATAAAATATTATTGATACCTGCAATGTGGCTCTCATCTGCACCAAGCAACATTGATACATGAGCATAAAGCTCATTCATGGCCGCTCCTCCTCTAATCCATACCCTGCAAAAATCCATTTCAATTTTTAAATGTACCCTAATTCTGCAATTTCTTTGATTTCAAATCTAAAAAAAAAATCCATATGCAGAAGTTCCTTGAGAGCACCAAGCAGCATTGTAACATGAGCATCATGGTAGAAAATGCATTTTTTGGGTCAACCTTAAGGCTGTCAAATTCAGGCCAAAATTCATTACAGTAACAATTTTAAAAACTTCATCCTCAAAGAAAAGAGTTCGAGCTGGTACTAAAGGTTTCTAGTTTAAGAATGAAAATTAGAAAATGAGTATTATGAGTCACCCAATGTAAACAGGGAATAGAGTTAGGCCGTGAAACTCGTAAAGAAAGCAAAAGCCCTTAAAACAGCAACCAAATGGATCCTTTTTGCGGAAATGACCTGACATCAACACCAACACAGCAAAAGCATAGGAAATTCCAAACCAGACTAAACCTGAATCGACAAACTTCAAAGCACGTTGAATCAAAAAGCTCTTGTGGCGCTCCCAGCTTATTGTCGAACCAAGTCACTCCCAACAGGTCCAGCATCGCTTCCGTCTCGTTTCATGAGTCGATTCTTGCTAGTGTGGCGCAACCAAAGGGAAATGGGATACTGTACAAAGCTACTACGATTGTGATGAGAGAGACCCAATAATCTGGTAAAGTTAAGAGAGGAGAGTAGAAGGGAAGTGACCTCGTACGTTTAATCAAAAAGCTTTTGTGGTGCTCCCAGCTTGTTGTCGAACCAAGTCACTTCCAACAGGTCCAGCATCGTTTCCGTTTCATTTCATGAATCAGTTTTTTGTTAGTGTGGCGCAACCAAAAGAAAATGGGGTACTGTACAAAGCAACTACGATTGCGATGAGAGAGACCCAATAATTCTGGTAAAGTTGAGAGAGGAGAGTAGAAGGGAAGTCACCTTGTGTAAGCGTGGAGCTCTTGTAAGGTTGGGATATATCTTCTCCCTGCTTCTTGTGCTATGTCACCCTTCTCTGCCGTCAATGGCCGATCGACCCAATCCCACAGAGTGATCTCCCTTTGTCGGAGATTGCATCACTGTTGCGTAACTCATCGGGCTAGAAACAGAATGATAACAAATTACTCTTCATCTTCTTTCTCTTTTCCAATGATTCTCCTTTTTTTTTCATTCTCCAACAGTAGGACAGAGTGAGAGATTGAGACCTGTGATTCCTCTTCTCATTCTTCTTCGACAGCAGGAGAGGAAAGCGTGACCTGGGATTCTGCCGTATAGAGTATGCTGCGAAACATGAGATTCTAGGGTGGAAGAGAGAGATGAGTTTGAGATTGGGATTCAACCGAAAATGCCAAGCAACAAAAGCAGGGTGAATGGATTCCAAGCAACAAAAGGAAATGAAGAGTTACCTATGGCTGAGGAGAAGAGCACCCAAAAAAAATTGTGCAAGAGAGGTGCCAAGTGAAAGCTTGACAGGGGAGCAGGTGAGGGAAGAGAAGGGGTGAAAGGAGATACAGAGGAAGGAGAGAGGGATAGATGGTTGCGTATGAAGAGGAAGAGGTGGGGGATTGTCCAATGGGTAAAGCTAAAGCTCAGGGTTTCTTTGTTAGCGAGTGGGGTAAAAGAGATTGGCAGATCTCTTTAGAGAGGAGAAGGCGAGCACGTGGGTCACTTAAGACCAAACATTTGGGCCTCCACCAGTCGCAAATAGGAAACGTGTGGGCCACTAATAAACAATATCCAAAACTGTGGCTTTTATATACCAATTCCCACTCCCTTCCTTCAATTCTCATTCAAAAGGGCATTCAAAAAGTTGAAAAATGGGATGGATGGACAAGTATCCCTTGCCATCTGTGAAGTATGTATCTTGAATTCCAATCAATTTATACCCTGGCTAGTTAGCTGTGATCATTGTTCCTCAACAATACCCACCATCCGGCCCACTTTATGGGTCGTGTTCATGTG